GGTTTTGTGGATTTGGAGAAGGCATTTGACCATATTCCTCGTTGTGCCCTGTGGGGGGATGGGCCAGGTGTATGGGGTGCGAGGCCCTCTCTTGAGGGTTGTCTGTTCTCTGTATGACCGCAGCCGGAGATTGGTTTTCATTGCCGGCAGTCAGTTAGTCCTTATTCCGGTGCATGTTGGTCTCCGCCAGGGCTCCCCTTTGTCACTGGTTCTGTTCATCACATTTATAGACAGAATTTCTAGGTGCAGCCAAGGACCTGAGGGTGTCCGGTTTGGAAACCTCAGGATATCATTGGTGCTGTTTGCAGATGATGTTGTCCTGTTGGCCTCATCAAACCAAGACCTTCGGCGTGCACTGGGGCAGTTTGCAGCTAAGTTTAAAGCAGCCAGGATGAGGATCAGCACCTCCAAATCCAAGGTCATGGTTCTCCACCGGAGAAAGGTGGACTCCTCTCTTTAGGTCAGTGGAGACTCCTTGTCTCAAGTGGAGGAGTTCAAGTATACTTGGGGTCTGATGGGACGTGAGATTGATAATTGGATCGTGGGGGTGCGGAGGTGATGCAGTTGCTGTATCTGACTGTCGTGGTGAAGAGGGAGTTAAGTCAGGCGGCAAAGCTCCTGATTTACTGATTGACCTATGTTCCCACCATCACCTATGGTGATAAGATCTTGGTAATGACCAAAAGGACAAGTTTGCGAATACAAGCGGCTGAAATGAGTTTCTTTTGCAGGGTAGCTGGATGCAACCTTCCAGATCAGGTGAGGAGCTCAGTTACCCGGGAGTAGTAGAGTCGTTGCTTCTCCATGTCAAAAGGAACCAGCTGAGGTGCCTCGGGCATCTATTCTGGACACCTCCTGGTCGCCTCCCTCGGGAGGTGCTCTAGGCATGTTCTATTTGGAGGCGGCCTCATGGAATGCCGAACACACGCTGGAGGGACTATGTCTCTGGGCTGGCCTGGTGTCACCTCAGGGTCCCCCATAGAGCAGCTGGAGGAGGTTTGTGTGGATCAGGAAGTCTGGACATCTCAGCTTAGAATGCTGCCTCTGTGACCCAGCCCCGGATAAAGCGGAAGAAAATGGATCGATGGACGGATGGATGTTTCAGTGAAAAACTTAACATGTTGGTTTCTAAATTAAATTTTAGAGAAATCCCTAAGGCTTGCACCAAAATACATACCCTATTTTATGTTAATGAATTTTTTAAAAAAAGTGTATGTATGTTTGTATATGTGTATGTGTTTTGCATTTGTTTTATTTCTAATAATAAAATATCTTGTACTGTGATGTGTTGGTCTTTAAACACCCACTCAACTGCAATGACAAAAGATTAAAGCGTGATTCAAGCTCATGTCACTGACAAGCACGTAATTCTTCAAAAATCAGGCAAAAATACAAATTGAGTTACATTCCAAACATAAGAAATGATTTACAAAAATAACTGAGCCAAAGAAAAAAAAAATTCAATAAGTGTGCATAGTGTGCTGTTGGACAAGGACAGCCCTCAAATTCACTTTTTTTCCATCTTAACGTATCTGTCCTAACATATAACAGACTGAAATAACCTGATTAAATATTAAATAACTTGAAGAAATGTTAGAGCACAGCAGCGCCTAAGTTAATTTGTTCTTTAATATTTATGAAAGGCAAGATTTTAGTGTTTTTGTTGGGCTAGGTGGAAAATATCATATCATAAAATATGACTGTATCTAACAGCCAAGAGTATTTCTGAGAGAAGAAGTGAAAACTACACAGTGTTAGTTGGATGGTTGTAATCTCAAACTGTACCTGTTAAACACTTCTATCTGATTTGACACACATGGATCCACTGTATCCTCTTACTCTTGGTTTGGATGCATCTATTTTGTGCAGTGTGGCAAAGATTTTTAATACTTTATGTGTCACTTTCACCCATAGGTCCGCAGTTTAATAAAAAAAGCCTTATACTGTTTGTCTTACTTGTTTCTGCTTCTGTGTTGTCTCACCTGATTTGATCTGTCTCAATGAAGCAGTAACTGCATCGCTTTCATCTAAGTGCATGACACAGGTCTTGAAATGTGCTGAAAACCAGTTGGTCTTCTGAGAAATAAACACTTAATAACTTTAACCAACTGTGTGAGTTTTTGTTGTCGCATTTGCGTCAGTAATCAAGCCTTTGTCTTTCACATTATTTCAAATCATAAATAAATGTTACCATGTTGTTTTCAAATGATGCAGACTGTAGCAACCTAGTGAAATACATATTTTTGAAATGAGTGAAAAAATGATCTTGTCCCACATTTTGTATTCCTTTGTGTAAATGAGAAACACCTGGTATCCTTTATGAAATCGATTGCAAAGTGTTGCTGAGATGCTTTCTTCACATAGTTTGACATGTTTACTGGAGATTATTTATTGTATAGGAGCACTTCTGCTGCAGGTAAAATACCTGATCATGTGTGCACTGTTCTTACTGTTCTGATCAGTTCTGCAGCCCTCATCATGGCTCTGAAAGCCATAGAAATAATTGAGTCTCTCTTTCAGGTGAAATCGTACAAAAGTCAACTATAGTATCTTACCTTTACTGAAACAACCAAACATAATTCTTATCATTCTGGCTCAGTCTTCATTCTGTCTCATCATCAAACCTTTTGTGCTTCATTGGCCTTGTTGTAGATGGGGATACTAGAGTTCCACTATCGTTCTAGTTTATGATCGACTTCAGTCTTCTGAGTTCCAAGAATTATTTTCTTTTGACCAGGTGGCGACGGTTAGATTATTGAAAATATGACACCACGGGGTGTTCCAAAAAAGCAATAATCCCATCACACACATAAAACGCTGTTTGTGAAGAAAATAATCTGGTTTCTCAAAAATCCAATTTCACCTCCACCGAAAGCCCCGTGCAAATTGGTTGAGTCCAGAAAACTAACCAAATAAAACAAATGATACCAATACTGCCAAGGTGAACGGTTGACCATCCAGCAAGAATTAAGCCAAAACCTTGTTGATAGTAATCCTGTGTTTTAGGTGTAACCCTTTTTATAATTTTATGAAATGTATTATCATTTTATAAAAATGATAATAAATTTCAAATTCTGCTCCTGGATTTTTTTCTTTTTTTTGTTTTTTGTTCTATAATTTATTTACTGAGGTTACGTGTTGCATAATCCTTTCAGAAGAATTTAAAATAATTTATCAAATCATTAGGATAAATTTGACATCACATATGATGCTTATACCTTCCAACCTAAACCCTGGACAGTCTACTGAAGGGGGAGATAAAAGACACCAGACAAAGCAGACGAAAACAAAGTGCTGTTAAAACAACCTTGGCTAAGATGCACAAAGGCCTTTTAATTGACCTCTATCTCGCAATATCATTAAGCAATACGCAGAGAAAAACACTAGATGGCGCCAAGTGAAAAGCAGTTACTGATCTAATAACTAAAGCTTCAAAAGCTATAGAGAGGAGCTTGATTTTTTGTTTGTACTGTTATCCATGTTTCCAACTGGAATAGATGTGACTTATATAATAACCCTGAATATTTATATGATAAAAAAAAAGGAAGAAGAAGTTAATTTTAACAGCTGACTTAAATGCAGCTTTCCTATGTATAATACACACTTGTTTTTCTCTTAACAGGCTGATTAGTGCGCACAGCTCTGCGCAGGAGTTCCCAGACACGGTCCTGCAGGGGCGGAGCTAGATGGGGGGCCAGGGGTGGCCATGGCCACCCTTAGCCAGTCAATTGCCCCACCTGTGGCCACCCCTACCATTTTTTTCTCCTCTAATACAGACAGTGGCAGCAGTAATACTCTGAAGGGGAATTTTTAAACTTATTAAACATTAAAATGTTTCATATATTAACAATTACTTTACAATAGAAACACTGCGGTTAATGCACATGCACATTAATGTACTAACGCCGGCCGGGGTCTTTCTACATGGGTTTTGCATGTTCTCCCTGAGCATGCGAGGGTCCTCTCCGGGTACTCTGGCTTCCTCCCACTGTCCAAAAACATGACTGTTAGGTTAAATGGCTTCTCTAAATTCTCCCTAAGTGTGAGTGTGTGCATGAATGGTTGTTTGTCCTGTGTGTCTCTGTATTGCCCTGCAATGGACTTGTGACCTGTCCAGGGTGTACCCCGCCTCTCGCCCGTAGACAGCTAGAGATAGGCACCTGCACCCCTCATGACCCCGCTTGGCATTAAGCATGTCAGAAAATAGATGGATAGGAAGTAAAGATTAAATTATATGTCTCTGCAAATCATCTAGGAGTTTTCAGTGAAATTGGAGATAAATAACTACTTTAATAATAACTTAAACATTCATTAAATGTGGATATTAGTACATGTAAATATAATTTTTTTTTTTTTTTGCAGATTGACTTTTGATAAAAGTAAGTAATGACAATGTAAAAGATGTAAAAGAAAACACAAACCTGAAAGAATTTTGGGTGTTTAAATATGCGTCTATTTGTTAGCAAACGCTGTAGGAAAGTATAGTAAGTCTTTCTTTAGAAAACATGGATGTTGTGGTTGTTCCTGTTGGAACAGTGTAGATTGACCCTGAGGTTCTGGCGCCTGTCGGCCACCCCTCAATGTGCATTGGTTATTGACCGGCCACCCCTATTAGTTACGCCTCTGCTGCGGGGACAGGAGGAATCACACACCTCACCAATTCCCCGGTAGGGAGGGGCAGTCTAACAGAGTAGAGGGCAGGAAGAAGCTGAGCAAGGAGATCCTTTTTCCCCCTAGACTCCTGATGTTAGTTGATCGCATATCTGTGTATTAGTGTTTGTATGTGCGATAGAGAGAGGGAGAGAGAGAGAGAGAGAGAGAGAGAGAGAGAGAGAGAGAGAGAGAGAGAGAGAGAGAGAGAGAGAGAGAGAGAGAGAGAGAGAGAGCTGCGCCCTGCACTACAGTCTGCTGACACACCGGGAGCGCAGTCCGCTCTGCACCCAGAGTCACCGGACTATATGAGGATACAAAGACCGATAAACGCAGATCCAAGGGAATAGTTCAGTTGGCCTGCGACCTCTTCCATGAGAAAGCGTAAGTGGACAATTTTAAGAGCCTGATTCGCTCTTGTGAAAAGTGACGTTTTTGATCCTTTCTTATTTGCTAAAATATGTTTTCTTTAATAATGAAATGAGAAACTTATGTTGATCTAAACCCATCAAGCAAACCAGCGTAGTGTATTTTATTTCTGTTCATATTTTCAGACACTGATGTGGTAAACCCAGCATAAACAGAAAGTATTCAGATGGAGGGGCAATTGGTTTCTTTTGATGTGTTTGGGTGTTTAGAAGTTTTTAAGGTAATAAAAGCGGTTTTAAGGTAATAAAGTGGGAGCCCACAGAAGAAGAGGCCAGTCCTGAGCACAAAGACTATTCTCAACAAGTATAGTACAGTGGGCGCCTGCTTGGTGCTGAGGCAGCGACTGTGTGTGACAGCACCATTATTCACCAGGATGCTTAATTGCACCATAGGTTGCATTGGATAGAGCCACAGACTTATGTTAAGGAAAGAAGAATTAAAGCACAATCTAAGTGCTAATGCCATTTGGTCAGACACCTGTTCTTTACTTTTATTATCAGACAGGAATCAGACACTGTAGTTCTATTTTCTTACCAGATCCATCCATAGCAAACTGGTCTTGTTCTTATTGGGTTGCATTTAAAGCAGTCACCAGAGATAAACTGATTAAGTGGCTGAGTTTTTAATTTCTATTTTGCTCTAATCTGCTGATGCTACCCTTAACAACTACGAATAACGATAGAACACTATCAAACTTTATAAATAAATCCAAAGTACATTTTTAACTTTGAAAAGTTAAGTAAGGTAAAGCAATAATTTTTTTCAATAAAACATAAATCCAGAAATAGAGTGAAAACGTAAAGGTTTTGGGAATGAGTTGTCTATATAAGGAGATTTAGGAGAATTAAATCATAGGGTTTTCCTTTGTTCTCCCTTCAAACTAAATAACAGCTGTGTCCAGATTGATCAAACCTGATCTCTAGTCGATTATGTATATTTTAACTAGTGGTAGTTTGCGTTTGTAATTGACAGAAAGCTGGATTACAGAGCTCTGCTGTTAAATGGGATTACATTATCATATCAAAGCAATTACCTAATAAATAATGTAGATATAGTTAAGAGGAAAATTTCCAGATTGCACTCAGAAGCCAATTCTCAGTCTATATTCAACAGTCCTATTTTTACTTGTCCTTATGTTAATTTTGTCTTTGCACACTTAAATCACATGTGAAATAAAAGAAGCTACATCTCAACTTCTAAGTTAAAACAGTTGATTTAAAAAAAACCTGACTGTGGTTCTTGCATGAATGCAAACAATGGTTGTTAATGGAGTATATGTGGCAATTATGCAACTGTCATATAACAGTTTATCTATAAAATTTGTAAAGCGGTCTTTTTACTAAATAAATTGTATAGCTCATTTCAGATTTTTCCTTTTGAAAACTCTGGAGAAATCAATATAGAACAGGGTTTTATTCTGTGGTTGTATGCGGTTAAAAGGGCATCTGCTGGAGTGCAAACACAATACTTAGCCTATTCCTGGAAACTGAATAGAACAAACAATTTAGCTGATGTGTGGCAGAACTGTATTTTAGAGGAACTCCAGGGGGTACAATATCAGACCATCATGTATTGCTGCCTCTCTGTCCAGATGCAATTCCTTAATGCACTCTGAGAGGTTGAGATCTAATAAGAAGTGGAAGAACATCTTCAATAATGAAAGCCCACCTGCATCTGTGCTGCAGAGAGAGGCTGGGGGCTGAGAGGCTTCATAAATAACGGAGGCCAGATCCTGACATGTGCTGCTCCAGCGTCTGGAAACTGCCAATAATCCCTCTCATCTACTAAGATGCTGTTCTAGCTGAGTGAAACAGAAGGGGCACAGTTTCAGTTTGAAGCCATCAAGTAAAAGCAGCCATGAGCAGAATTTTTCACTCAATTCCAAAGGGACGCTGAAATTACAGATATGTACCTATTGTGCTGCATAATTTAGAAGATTCCCTTCATATTATTAGGTTTGGATCACCCAACTGTCCAAAAATGTTTACAATTACATTTTTCTCTGTTATGTAGTTCTGCAATTTAAAAGATAAATTAGGAAGATCATTTAATCCAAGATATTAAATTCAATGCCGTTATTAAAGAGTTTTGTTATGATACAAATTAATTTCACTCAGCAGGATTTCAACAAACTCTCTCCCGGGTATTAACCAGAGTTCAGGCAATTATTGCGAGCAAGTTTCATTATAGTAGATCTAATAACTCTTTAGACTTTGCTAAACCATCTACAGAGTTTTTGAAACTGTTCGCTTACTCTGTCCTTACGTTTTACTGTGAAGACTTGTTGATTTATAACTATAGCTTGAATACACATAAACAACAAGAGATTCATTTTTCTGAGGCACAATGTGACTCTCGTCTGAACACAGCCCCTGTTGCTGTCAGAGCTTCAGGCTGTCCCGGCTATGAAAAGATAGCACTGTGTTGAACTCTACGGATTGACCGAGCAGGCGGCGTGACTCTGCTGTTTTGTTTCTCAAAGAGTCTCATGAGCGTGATTTATTTAGTTCAGAACTCGAAAGAACTGCTTTCATTAGTCATGAGCAAACACTGTGCTGTGTATGGCATTGAGGTCCTCACTATTCACACTTTTTGTTAGTTATATTTCTGAAAAACAAGTCTACTTTTAGTATCCATCAAAAATGTTATAGTTCTTTTTTGTTTCACTCTATGTGAAAGGACTGTGAAAGTTTAAGCTGTCAGCAATAAAAATCTTGCCAAACAAAACAAATATAATATATCTAATATTCATATTAAATCATTATAGTAGAAGTAATATCAGAAATCTGGAACTCTAAAGATGCAGGGACGGAGCTAGGTAGGGGGCCAGGGGGGCCACCCCTAGCCCGTGATATGGTGCTTCATGCGGATGTAATCAATTGCAGTTCCCCTCTAAATCAGGGTGGCAGTAGTGACTCTCTGAAGTGAAATTTCCTAATTTGACATTTTAATTGTTTGTATATCAATCATAAACTCACACCAGGAATGCAGTAATTATTTTTCCACTTCAATATTCTAATTAAGGATGATAAATACAAAATCAATACTGTTTTTGGGATACATTTATGTATATTATCGGTAAGAAGAAAAGTCTATGCAATTCTTATAATCTCCTATGTAAATAAAGATACATAACAGATTTTAACTAAAGGCATGTTTGATAGTTTTTCTAGAACTGTGCATGCACAAGACCACCCTACCTTCTGTTATACCGTCAAGTGAGAAAACCTCCTTCGTAAACTCTGATCTTACTTCTTCTTCTGAGGCCTTTGTTTTCTTTTCATGAATTGTAAGATAGCATTTGTTGAAAACATTGTAGCTGCAGTGAATGAACGTGAGACTAAAGCTCACTGGAGCTAAACCCTAGAAGACTGCATAGGTGCCAGGAGTGCACACTGGCGTTTGGTGAGCACGACACAGACTGGCATGTTAAGTCTTCTAGTTCAGGTCTACTCTGTCCACCCAGAGCTAAAACCAAACAAAAAAAGCTTTTTATCCCCCCTCAGCTGGCGAGGCCCTGAAATATTTAACAGGGACTGCACTATTTTTGGATTTGAGCTCAGTTTGTTTTGGTGCTTATATAATATGTAGTTACAGCCCAACGTGCATGGCAGTGTTTTATCACAAGTGCCAAACCACCAATTCTTCATACTTCAGAGTGAAAAGTGCTTGAAATAGTAGCATTTTAAGCCAAATAAAACATAGAGTTTGAATAAGTATGAAGAAAATGAGGACTAGCACCCATTGTTCATTGGCAAATCTAATTGCCATGTTTTATACAGTATCTTACGTGTCAAGGAAGCAGAGCCAGACCAGATCGTCTGCTGATCCTTGTTTCTAAAAGACATTGATCAGCTTGTCTCCTCTCCCTCCAACCATCTCCATCCCTCCTTATTTTTGCCTCTCCATTTGGTTCCCCTTTTTCTCATCTCCATCTCCTCTGCTCTCCTCTCTCCTCCTGAGGTGTCAGATTCTCTGACTCATGCCCTGGTGTGGAGGATGGGAGAAAAGCAGGATGAAAGAGGAGAAAGACAAGTCATTTTGCAGATATAGGGAGTCACCTTCATCCAGTAAAAGCGATGGGAGAAAAGCTAGAGCTAATTTCCAGCATTACAGTATTTTCTGCAGTTCAAGAAATAAAAAAGGGAGACTGCTAGAGGCTCTATGATAATCAAGGATACTATTTTGTTAAAGAAGGGGTCAGATTGTAGAACAAACACTTATGAAAAGCTATAGCAACACTTGATTTAAAAACAGGCAATTGCTTTAACATCACAAAAGCCTCTGCTCATAGCATAACTTTTAATCCACAGCAGTTTGAAAACTGTTGTAGAATCTTGAGCCCCAGTCCACCTACACTAAATCTAAAGCCAGGAGTAATTCAGGCTCATACTGTGTCACTGCGTCTGGAACCAGGAGCCACTTGGGAGATAACAATTGACGAGTCAGAAACAAGGCTGTGCAAGGTTCATTATCCACATATTCTCCAGTTGTTTCAACCCAAGAAACAACAGATAGGAGGATGGATTTACCTAATCAGAAGATGGCATCTTCCACAAAAACAACATTAGGACCCAATCGATATTCTTTTAAAGGTATTTGATTATTGATAGGCTCAAACAAGGAAATGATCTAAATTAGTTTCTTTTTTGTGGCTTGACAAAGAAAATAAGTCTCTTAGCTTTTCGTCAGGTTTAACCAGACAGGATGGCCTCTCTCACACCTTCACATGAGCATTAAGACTTCAACACATCAGTTTATACTCTGTTGAGTGGTAATGTTTATTCCTGATCCACTTAATGACATTATAGTTAAAGTCAACATCACTTCAAATATCATCTCAGGGCTAATTCCAAAACAAAAGACTAAATTCTCAACCGGTTAAGAAGAAATGTATAATGGAATAGATCCAAGTCAATCCAAAACAATCCAGTCATATAGTCAGAGTCAGGCCC